AGCATTGGAGATTTGGTCCAGGTTGCGTGATACTGTTGCGATTGCAAGCGTGTGCTGAAATGAGCAAAGTATTGACTCGCTAAGATGTGAACAAAAGGAATGTGAACATACAGTTGTTGCTTTTCGATTGACCGTCGAGATAGCACAGTTAAGCAAAGGGGCTTAAAAGCAGGGGGCGCTGGGGTTGACTTTAATTATGTGGCTCATTAATTGCGTTTGTAGTATGTGTAAATGACGGGCCACTGTACAACCACTGCATCACATCAGATTTTCAGTGGGAATCAAAAGGGCAATATTTTTGTGAAATCCGTCTCTCGTACTTGGAAAACGGAGAACTGCTGAAATAGGAGAAAATCACATTCTGTTCCATTTTGAAACTCTCGATTTGGACTGAACTTTGAGACGGATGGGTCTTTGCCATCGACAGCACTGAGTCCTTGACGTATTTACACTGTACCTGTGTTTCTCTATTTCCTCAGGGCTCACATTTACGAACGTGCTGGACATGAAATGCCAAAACCAGCCCTCAATCAGCTATTCTATTGTGTGTGTGTGTTACCGTAAGTAAAGATTTATGTCCCTCCTTAAGGTAGAGAAGACATCAAACTTTGTACAAACTCCTGAAGGCTTGGAAACCACCTCAGGTTTTGGGCTATCGTCATACTCTCACACCTTTTACATAAATGGTGAACCAAACCGAAGTCAATAATACTTGTGTGCTCGTGTACATTTTTTCAGGGATGTAAATATTTGAAGTGTCAGATCTGGGTTTTAGTCAAAGAGATTTTTTTTTTCTTCCCCTCTTCTTTTTGGTCAAAAAAATCATCTGCCGGACAGAAAGAGAGCCATGCATTGTGATGAAGTGAGTTACTGTAAAGAGAGAGGCTCCATGTACTCAATCGTATTTGTGTTCATACTCTATGTGTGTAAACAGTATTGTACATTCATGACCCTGTGTATAGAGAAATATTAGTATTGTATAAAAATTTATATGACTGTGTTATTGTATAGAACAGAATCTGTATTAAAATGTAATCTATGAGTTGATCTATCTCGACTTTGTCACATTGACTTGTCAACATTTTAATCATTTTATTCATTATGGTACAACCTGCAAGGTTGAACAAAATATATTCCAGGACTCTGGCTAAGCCCTTTCAATTGTTTAAAATAAATTTAACATTCGTAACTATCACACGGTAAAAATAAGCAACCCACTGCTAGTCGGAAAACATAAAAATAATAAAATACGAAACTTGAAAATGAACAACAAAGGTGTAATGCGAAAGTGATTCACGCTGCAGATGTGCCTCACAAATCGAAATTATATTATTCTAACTATTTAAAAGCAGAAAACTCCTTTCGACATTTGTAATTATTGGTCCCAATTTTAAAAATACAAATACAACAATCTCAAATGAATGAGTATAATTAACGCACATTTCTGGTGTAACCCAAGTGATACTCTTGCGTTTACGTGTTTTGTTTTGTTTTCAAGAAGCGCTTTTGTGACTGTACAATTTCTTGGGAAAACAACAATGGGTCACTTGGATTCATCCTAGTGGGGGGTGAGTCCCTCAACCTTAGCTGTCCCACCCTGTCAGTGTCTTCTCTTTGCTCTCCACATGTATATGATCCCTAAATTTAGAATCTCCGTCCCAGATACTTGTGGTATTTAACGATGACTGTCACGAACCCTCACTAGTAGCTGAGCTTGTAAAGTTCAGATGCACTTCTTTATGTTGACTTTTTTTTTTCCTTCCGCCGTACCAAACGAAACAAATCTCTCTGTGAGCTTTTGTCTGTTCGCTGATTTGCCGGGATCACACCATCCATGCCCTTCTTCTCATCCCCACTTTCCTCTCGTGCGTCTCCTCCTGCTTCCCCGGCGCACCCGTTCTGCGTCTCTCTCATCTCTTATCCAAATTCGGGCCTTTCAAAACAAAGTAGGGAACAGCTGCAGTGTCTTGGAAGGAAGGAAAGTCACCTTGAGCGATGAAAGAGGAACAGAAAAAAAAAAAACACGAGCGAGCGAGGTTGAGAGAGAGAGAGAGAGAGAGACAGAGAGAGGAGGGAGAGGCTCCCGTGCAAGATGACATCAGAACATTATATGACAAATAAAGGGACAAGCGCTGCATTGCTGCAGATTAGCCACTGCTCTCAGTCCACTATAGTGTCACATACTCTCGCCACCTTATAACAACGGTTTTTGTTGAATACTTGAGAATCGGCTAGAACTATTATTAGTCGTGTTCTGAGTCCCCCGGCTACCACTGAAGTGAGAAATACCTCATGATAAAAACAGATAGCGCATGTTTTGGACATGAAAACAGGCTGCTCCAGAAAGGGAAATCGAGTCCTTGGTGGCCATATTGTGATTTCTCTGTGGTGTCACTGTATCGCGTATTTTTAAACTATGAATAACGAATTTCATATTGCGGATTTCATTTTTCATGTCATTTTTCTACTTCTACATTTTTTCGGTACTGCAGTCTACCATAGGAATAAGCTCGACCCAGGAGGAAAGAGTGCCTAAAAATCAAAGAATGTCAGAAGTTTGGGATCATTTGACACTTGAACAAAAGAGCACGTCTGCTGTTAGCTGATTTAGGATGGCCTAAGAATGCTACAGTTACAACAAATTGTAATCCTTCCACAAGTGGTCAATCAAGGGGGGAGCACAGCCAGTAACAAATTACATATAATAAGGGCATACCTACGCTAGCTGCAGCACACAACTGACTCTCAGAGACACTGAAACATGCGGAATGACGAACGATGAGCCACTCGACAGCTTGCCAATAACAATCAATTCTGAATTTCCATTCACTGACTTCACCGTCATTCAATAAGCAAAGTCACACATATTATAGTTGAGAATATTTGGATGGTGACCCTTAGCGGACAAAAATAATACCTGCACCTCACGTCTCTATTTTGTATTGGTATTATGCATAAAGCTTTAAAACGTGTGTAAATGATCAAATAATGGTCTCTAATTCACAGATATTTTCTATTGAGGGGGATTCTGGAACATGACCCCTGTGATAAGCAAGGGATTGTTGTACTGTACTCCAAATGAAAGCAACAATGAGCAGGCCCTCAACCGCCCTTTTTCATGGACGCTCAAAACGAACATCAAATTTGAGCCATGCTCTGCCTACATTAAATGGCCCATCTGTTGTGGACACTTTATCCAATAGCGGGCTCATTTCGACAAATTATCTCGTAGAATTTTGTCAACGTACAATTGATCTAAAAAGATGACAAGGCCGAGTTTCTATTTGCATTGTCAAAATAATTAACAATCTCACATTGTTTCGGGTCGTTTTTGTAGTTTGGTTACAACAGACTGAAGCTGTTTCTAATAAGACCTTATTTAGCTACACAAGAGGGTCGATAGATTATAACATCTCTCTCTCTCTCTCTCTCTCTCTCTCTCTCTCTCTCTCTCTCTCTCTCTCTCTCTCTCTCTCTCTCTTTTGCTGCACTGCAGACAACGTTCGATGCGATTACATTATACATTGCACAGCAGTACCTTCACGCCGTTGTTATGGCTGAATGTGCTGCTCTAGCGTCTCCTTGTGTTCAAACATTAGAACGTCACCTGACCCAGTGGCGGAAACCCACGACGCGACAAACCTGAAGTGGTGGAGAAACGCAAAGAATTACGACCTACGGCCAAGGTAAGGCGATTAGTCTTCCTTTATGCTACGTTTTCTCTAAATTGGGGCTATGTTTTAGATGTAACGTAGTTCACCGTTCAGATTAGTTTAAAATGTGTAATGTAGCAGCAGCATGCATGCCGAAATAGCTCAGTTGGGAGAGCGTTAGACTGAAGATCTAAAGGTCCCTGGTTCGATCCCGGGTTTCGGCATAGGGAACTTAAAAATAACTTTTATTGGGTCTTCTACCTGAAACAGACATCGATGACACCATTTGTAAAATTGAAAAGCATTTTAATTCCAGGACAAATTAATGTAGTTACGTCGGAATATCGTACGCACAACAAATTTCTTTCCTGAAATTAATGCATGGATAACTGTATTTTTTTTGTTTTATGTTATTAAGTTGTTTCTTCTATACATAAATATACATAAAGTAATTTCTTCTATATATAAATATTCCGTCGTTTTTAAGCGACGTGTGTAAAAGAAAAACACCATTGGTGCCCAAATAGTCAATAGTCATCTCCAGGGGGCGACCTTGTCCAATAAACCAGTGAAGAGTCTCCCTCCTGAGTTTGTAAACAGGCAGTTCAAGTTAGGGCAGCATGTTTACGTTCATGTCAGTTTAATATAAGGATCAGAAATCCAAAGCACAAATCTAAGTTAATTTTCTCGAATAGTGTACGCAGCAATTGACACACGTTACTTCCAGTCAAGGGTTTTGTGTTCACCAATGGCGTCATGGAAGTATTCTTGTCATGCAATGTTTCCCAACCTCTGTTCCACCAATGCACCCATTTTACATTAGAAAAATCTCGCTTAAAAACTACAAATTCAAAAAAGTGTCCTTGATTAAGATACCGAATCCCCAGTTGTTCCTGATGCTAGGTCAACATTAGTTAAAAAGAGGAGACAGCGTTAAAGCGACCTTGCTTATGAACAAAATGTACAGCGCGGGAATTGCCTCCATTGCTGAGCGACACTACTGATCGACTCGTACATTGTTGTACTTCCGGTGGCACTACACGGTTCTGAGCACATGGTCTGAAAACATATCAGGTAAACAGAAGCAAATCTCGCTGTCTGTGAATTGTCTCGCACTTTCTAAGGGAGTCTCCCAGACGAAGCTCAGCCGAGACTACGAATTGGCAAAGTTGACGATTTTGACAATCATTCGTAATGGCAACAAAATCATGGTTTTGAGGGCAACAGATTGAAAGATGATCGTAATTGACATATTTATACTGTATTACATGTTCATCTATATTACATCGATGTTACATCTATAAATGTTCATACTGTATTATACTGTACAGCATAGTTGATGGCCATTTTACTGGAAATGGTCACAACGAACTACCGTTATAACGTACAGATCCGTTATGTCCCTCGAGGTACGTTGTAACGATGTTGGACTGTATGTCAGTGACCAATTGTGACAGGTAGAACAATTAAATGCACTTCCACTAGATGGCAGTAAGTACAATTAACGAGTGGATCCTCCACCTGTTGCCATTTGTACAACAGAAGTCATGGATTCTTGCATTTACATCAGGTTTGTGTTCCGCTAAACAGGCCAGTTTTTGCACTTGCTAATCAAAATATGAGTAAATTGAGACAAGATCATCAGTATTTCAATATGTATTTATATACCGGTCTTTTTGTGACCTTTAGGTTTGGTGCTGTCAGCTCTTTTGAATGTAAAATATGTGCCTTGGAAAGGTATGCTTATAATTTGATATCCATAAGCCCTATCTTGTGGTTATATAACAGCTTTGCATCACATGCCAACAATGCATATCATGAACCTCAAGTATCTCCTTACAGACACTGCGCCGAGATTTTACACCTGTGTCGCTCTCTACATGTAGATACTTGCCAGGCATAACATAAGTGAGGGGCGTTTCCCTCCAGCAGGCGCACCTGTGCCGCGTTTCCCCATCAAGCGTTGCTGTGTATTTAAGGACTGTCCTGCTGCCTGGTCATCGTCGGATTATTGACCGTTCTTGCTGTTGTGCGTCAAGTGTTGCATTCTAGACCTTTCGATACCTTTCATAGTCACGCTTGTTTTCTCATAGACCTTTTGTAAGTATTTTCATTATTCCTTCATTTGAGCTTGATCCTTGGTCTAGCATTATTGGACTTTTTGATATTTCATTTGTTTATTGTCGGTGTTGTATTTTACTTTGCCTTTGCAAGCGCTTTTTGCTTATTCATTGCTTTTTCCTGGCTCCTTGTGACCAGCGATTTCAGTTTGTATTTTGTAGGTACGATTTTCTGTAATAAATATTTTTGTTATTGCATTTTGTCTGAGCCTGCATTTTATTTTTGGAATCCAAAACATTATTCGGTTTGGTCCTGAACCTGACAATATCTCCACAATTCAGTCGTGCTCAGTTTCTGCAGATTTTCAGAAATGATCTTCAAACATGTAGAATATATTTAGAAACAAACCTATGATTTCACTTGACAGGCACTGTTAAGAGTAAAGTGAAACGGTCATTAGTGACTTTTTCATTCTTACTTGAAAAATCATAAAAGTGTGAAAATACATTTACCAGTGTCAATAGTAAAACTGGAAACCTTTCCACCTTAACTTGTCTACACATGTGAATCCACATTACTAATTTCACTTTCAATGTACCTCCTTTTCCTAGTGACTGGTTACAAAAAGCCAAGGAAAAACCAAAATTTGCAGTTATAATTCCACGATGCTGGTTGAGCTTGATCCCGTGAGGTAAGCAGTGATCTTGCGTGGGTCTTTTCTTGCTCTCTCTGCACAACAAAGCAAACTGCGCACCCAGAATGAGTCCTTTGATACACCCCGAGTCATGCAATGTACAACCTCAGAGGAAGTATTGCTGGTACTGCATATACAGAACTGTAGGTAATCTCAGGGGTGTTCAACATTAGTGGATGGTTTCTATCAAAACCGATCTTATTATTGTTCGGTACTACTGTAAATGTTTTACATAGGGAAGCACAGTGGTAAAACTCCGAACTTCTTGAATACCCAGTTTGCGTGAGTGGCCTTGTCTTTACTCTTATCACCACCTGTGGTATGTTAAGCTATACGGTGTTCTATAAAGTATCTTTAATGTCTTCACCTTTGCCTCCGGCTGCTCTCACTTCTCCTTTTTTTCTTCATGAACGTCTGCCAATAAAGTCGCCACTCCTTAGTTTATTTATACACACCTTTCTCAAGGCAGATTGAACCCGCTGCACCCTGAATATGACGCGTGAGGAGTTTATTTTATGTTTATGTCTGTTTGTCAAGTTGCCCCAACAAGGTGTTGATTAACACATGGATCGAGAGTACAGTTACTTTGTATCAATACTTGATGGGACTCAGTCAAATACAAGATGAAAATGTATTTTATAACTTGGGCCTGTGTTGTTAATAGCTTATTTCAACAGTGACTGAGGATCTGTTCACACATTCAATACAGATATTCTGTGGAATCATCAGGGTTATAAAAAAAGTGGGTGTGGCAATCTAAAAAAAAAAAAAAGTACCGGTATTCGGTTTTAAGAGGTTTCTTATCACTTTGAGTTTATATACAGGAGATAAGCCTATGACTGTGGTTTGTTATTGCAAGCCAGTCATCACAGAATGTCTGGCATCATCCCAAATCATGACTTCTCTTTATCGCTTTTAGGCAGTGGTCCCCAACCCCTGGGCCGCGGACCTGTACCGGTCCGTGCGTCATTTGGTACCGGGCCGCACAGAAAGAATAAATAACTTACATTACTTCCGTTTTATTCATTTCGGAATCTGAAAGATGTTTTATTTGGAAAAATTAAAGGATTCTCTGTTACATCCGTCAACAGTGTGTCACTCTTCATGCAAGTTAAGGCGCGCTTCTTGGTCACGTGATAGGTTACCGCTAAAATGAAACCCGGGAGATAGCAAAATGAGTAAAAAAAGAAATGTTTCTTTGGGAAGGGGAAAAGGCCCAGCCAGGAGACAGAGGAGCCTACGACTTTCAAGAAAAAGGCTACCGGTACATTTAAGAGACAGTATCAGGAGTCCTACTTAAAATACGGATTTATCTCGACAGGAGATTCCCGATCAGCAAGCCCACTCTGCGTAATATGCGGCAGTGGTGAGTCATATTTTTCGTGCACTTTGTATTTGCGGTGTTATTTTGTTGTATTTATCCGTCACACCTTAAAGGCCGGTCCTTGAAAATACTGCCTGATATTAAACCAGTGCGTGGGGCAAAAAAAGGTTGGGGACCGCTGCTTTTAGGAATTGTTTCTGACTCTCAAGCCCAATTCATTTTGAATGATAATGCATCGTAAGCAACTAGGTCATATTAATAGGTGCTCCTTTACATTTGAGGATTACAGCCAAAAACATAACATAGATACATACCTGCTTAGTTGTTAGGTGACACTGTCAAAGATTCTTTTCGGTATCCATTTATTAATGTTTATGAGTGTGATTGTGGTGTGCAGTGATGCTGAATTGCAAGCAGAGTGATCTTTGTGCTTTGTAGAATTTATGAACAGATATTGTATTGTATGTATCTCATTGGATTGTGCAGGTTTACCTGACGTTGTGGCAAAAGCACCACGCGAAGCCGGCGGCTTCATCTCAACAGGGACACCCTCTACACATTAGTCATTGGAGCAATTTATAGAATGTGACGCCACACCATGTAGACAATGAAACAGTATATGTCATGTGTTCATCTGTGACAGATAAATAATCACGCTACAATGCCAATTGGCTATCATTTCTCACTGCCACAATTTTCCATTGCGGCATCTTTGGTTGTCAGCCAAATAGCAGCCTACATTTGATGTCATTCATAGCACCTGTTCTTTTCTCTCGTTGAAGCTTTGCTATGCAAAAGACATATTGTCTTTGTCTTTCTGTCAGCTGTTTGCCCCCCGCCCCCTGCAGCTAAGTTTGTATGTCAGCAAGCAACAGAGCATAGGGTAAGCGGTTTGTTTTGCAGTGCGCACACGTACGATATTCGCACTTCCTGTATTTAGCCAGACCCTCCTGAATCGACTTCCTCTATTCAGATGCAAGTGTGACCGAATGTAAACTTGAGATTATGATGCTTGTGGCACGTGCTGCTTTTGAGGCCTGCTCTCTCACTTATTTCCTCTCACCAGTCCACTTCCTCACTGGCCCCAACATGTCACGTGAATCTTAGAATGAAGGCAGAAAAGAGGAGGAAGAAGAATAAGGCTAACTCTTCAGTTTTACTCAGAGATCACTTTTATGATGAGACAATCCCGGTCTTCTGTCTCAAACAGGATCTCTGTTGTGGTACCAAGACTTACCTTTGAAGAATCTTTTCAATGATACTAGCTACGACCCCAAACAGTTTTGTTCCGCCCTGTGTAGTCGCTTTTCTATTCTACTTTTTTGGGGCCAGGCGGTTACAATCGAAACAGTCGTCAGAATCTATTGCAACCTGGTTCTAGAATGCAGGCCGAAGAGGGTCGTGACGTCACTGTCATTTGATCGCGAGACAGATGAAAAAGTTCCTTTAAGTGATGTGGCAAGGAGCTAAATTGCACATGCCCAGACTGGCCCCCAAAATGCCTGTTCCCTAATTGTCAACCGGCGTAAGAAACTGAAGCATAAATAGAAGTAGTAGTTGTCAAGGCAACTAATGTGAGACATGTTGTAATTTAAGAATACAACTGATTTATGCCACAAAAGGATTTACAGCACCAAGAGGACCAATAAGTGACCAGTATTGTACCACTGACCCCACTGCGATGTGGGATTCTCGTTAAGGTAAGCCATTTTAAACTAAAAAGAAAAACAGTTCGGTAATTAGAAGTGGGTATTACTCCAGCATGTACTCCTAATACATTTGCGAATGCAACCACTATTAGTGAACGGAGATTTCAGGTGTCCAAGCGCCACTGTTCTTGGTATTGGATTTTTATAAAACAAATTTAAAACATTTAAATATTAAATAAATTCAATATTCCCCTCCAAAATACTCTTCTTCATGATGCATTCTTTTTGACTGGTGTGACTTATAGTCAGAAAAATATGGTGTAATGTGTTTTACAACAATACCTAACCATATTTATTATTTTAAATGTGCATGTGGATGAAATGTGAAGCTCGTGGTAAAAAATTTAACGAGCCATGCGTATGTTGCTGGATTCATTACAATGAATGGATTGAATGAGAACAAGCCCCATCTTTCAAAATATCCGCTTTCCTCTTTTGGGCAGCCGCACACTGCATGGTGGCAGTCAAGGAACACACAGGTTGTTACAGATAGAGGATGTGGTCTACAATAAAGACAAAAGTGGGCATATATTGAAAGACAGGACTTGCTCTCTCTGTGACCTCCAGGCCTCTAGCTACATTCCATTATGTAACAGACCATGAAATGGGGGGAAAAACGTCAATATCAACCCTCAGAGCAGTGATAAAGGATGTGTTAGTGGGTATTTTCTTTTGCTTAAAGCATATTTTTGAACTTGGGATAATTGTATTTTTTTTCCAGCAAATCGCCCCAAAAGATCCACTAAACAAGCAAACGTGGAGGTTTAATCTTTGACGATGTTTGTCTAGAGCGATTACAGTATCTAGTAAATCAATAGCTTCTCTTCCAGGTTTGTAATTGGAACTCTACAAGGTCGTCTCATTGCCCCTTGTATGACCATGCGTCATGTCTCGCCTCACTCCAGTTGGTGATAGACCCCAGCGTAATGTGATCCAGAGCAGGACTCAAAGTACTAGGCCTTCTTTATTAGGCTGAGAATGTCATTGACCAGTGCATCTTTTGGTTCTTATTATAGCCTGGGAATTAACCCTGACTGAGCGCTGACTTCCAAGGAGATTGGAGTGCTCCTTTTGTACCTGTGTTGACCTGCTGTTCTGTTCCACGACGGAAAACACAAGTAGTCCAGTCCAGTCAGCTGTGCCCCGTGCACATCATCTAAGGAGGGTGACGTCGGGTGTGTTTACATGCTCGTACGGCCGGTGTGATGGCATGAGAACACTTGCCTCTGTGTGGTTATGTTTACAAGATGAGGGCTCATACAGCCACGAGCGATAGCGTGACCGCTGTTTGCTCCTTGACATTGTTTTGCTATAACACTTGGGATCCCCCTCTGGGATCAATCAAGTCTTGTCTTATCTAACACACTCTTAACTGACAAATTGATTGAGAGGTTTGTATCAATAACATGAATTGTATCATTCTAATTGTTTCTCAGAATATTTTTGCAAATGGGTCAGATGTGTCATCAAAAAATAAGTAACTGGGTAAATAAAAAGTTAAGAGCGCCCAATGTTTTCCATCCATCCAAGCATTTGTTATATAAAACATTTGAAGTGGCTTCGTTTGACTTAATCACCAAAACATCAGGTGGAACATTTCCAAGCGATCATTTCCGTCTTCCTTTATAGAAACATCATCATGTCTCATTCGTGGACCCAAGGAAACACCAGCCGAGTTGACTTGGTTCTGCGCAGCTGAAAATGTGCCGGCATTAGATCGGTTTCGCTGAAGCTTATGTAAGCCGAATGTTCCCGTTCGGGACGTCAGCAGTGTCGATGACCCTTTGCCTTGGCTTCCTTTCACCCTTTGAGGTGGTGCTCGCAGGGGTTCCCGGTCGACTAAAAATCTGCTGACTCTGCGCTTGCCGCAAGAGATAAATGTCTGAGAAAGCCCTACTCGCGCATGCCACACATAACCACACACACATTTTCCGAGCAGGGATGAGTTTAGTGTTGCCTTTGGC